CCTCCTGAGGTGCTGAGCTCACTGTGGACAGACAGCACCGGTGGGGGGGGGTCAGCACAGGTGACCCAGGCCAGGTGTGTTTGGGGTCACCTGTTCCATTTGGGGGATCAAGGGCTACCTGCAGCCCGGGATGGATTTTTGGGAATCTCGGCGTTCCAGGCGTGGATTTTGGGGATCCCTGAACTCCAGGCGTGGATTTTGGGGACCCCAGCACCCCAAGGATGGATTTTAGGGCTCCCATCACCCCGACGATATATTTTTGGGGTACCTGCTCCCCGGGGGATGGATTTTGGGGCTCCCATCACCCCAAGGATGGATTTTGGGGATCCCAGCACCCCAAGGATCTATTTTTGGGAACCCCAGCACCCCGATGATGATTTTTTGGGATCCCATCACCCCAAGGATGGATTTTGGGGTTCCCATCACCCCAAGGATGATTTTTTGGGGTTCCCATCACCCCGATGATTTATTTTGGGATCCCTGCTCCCCGGGGGATGGATTTAGGGTCCCCATCACCCCAAGGATGACTTTTGGGGCTCCCATCACCCCAAGGATTTATTTTGGGATCCCTGCTCCCCAGGGATAGATTTTGGGGTCCCCATCACCCCGATGATTTATTTTTGGGATACCTGCTCCCCGGGGGGTGGATTTTGGGGCTCCCATCACCCCAAGGATGGATTTTAGGGCTCCCATCACCCCGATGATTTATTTTGGGATCCCTGCTCCCCGGGGGACATATTTTGGGGTCCCCATCACCCCGATGATTTATTTTTGGGGTACCTGCTCCCCGGGGGGGGCCGTCCCCCCGTGCCCAGCGCGCAGCCTGGGCCGCCAGGTGCCTCAGGAAAGGCTCCTGCACGCACAGCAGAACGTTCTCGGGCTTGATGTCCGTGTGGATGATCTTACACTTGGTGTGCAGGTAATCCAGCCCCTCCAGCACCTGCCAGGGGGGTCCCCGAAATCGGAAAGGGGCACCCCAAAACGAGGAGGGGCACCCCAAAGCGAGGAGGGGCACCCCCAAAGCAGAAATTCCCCCCCTCCCCCTCCCCAAAACCGAGTCCTGGGGGGGGATTTTGGAGAGCTGGGGGTGTTTGGGGGGGAGGGATGTGAGAATCTGGATGGGATTCCAAAGGAAATTTGGGGGATTTGGGGGTTGTTTGGGGATCCCGTGGGAATTTGGGAGGGATTTTGGGGTTTCCATGTGGATCTTGGGATGATTTGGGGTTTCCATGAGGATTTGGGGAGGATTTGGGGTCCCCATGAGGATTTGGGGATGATTTGGGGTTCCCATGAGGATTTGGGGTGATTTGGGGTCCCCATGAGGATTTGAAGAGGATTTGGGGTTCCCATGTGGATTTGGGGAGGATTTGGGGTCCCCAAGTGGACCTTGGGGTGATTTGGGGGCTGTTTGGGGGTTCCCATGAGGATTTGGGGTGATTTGAGGAGGATTTGGAGGTTATTTGGTGTTCTCATGTGGATTTTGGGGGGTCCACAGGGACACTGGGGGGATTTGGGGGCTGTTTGGGGTCCC